TACTGTACACTGTATAAGAAGGTATTTTGAGAGCAACAAAGACCAACCACATTCATGTAACTTTATTACAGTATGTTATCATTGTTCTATTTTATTAATCTCTTGTTATGCCTAATTTATACATTACACTTTATCATCGGTGTGTATATATAGAAAAAAGGTGTATAAAGGTTTGGTACTATCTGAGGTTTCAGGAGTCCACTGGGGGCCTTGGGATGCATCCCCTGAAGATAAGGGGAAACTACTGTATGCAAAATCGAAAGCTATACAACAATTAAAAACATTGAGAGAGCAAATCTAAGTATAAGTGAAGACATTCCGCTGAATTCCCAGGTTTCATCGAGCATCAAAAACGACCACTGGATTAATCTCCACAGATATATATCATTGGTTGCTGCTTCGGAGGTTGAACGTCCTTCTGAGTGTCCATTGTTAGCCCCCAACACGGGAAAGTTTCTCCGCGTTTCCAAACACGATCCCGAGTTTTTTTTTTTATCTTGCTCCTCTAGCTCTTTCAATTTTGATGATAGGGTGTTGATTTTCAATCTTTCCTTGCTTCTCATATGGGCATTTATTTCTATATATTTTCCTCTAGACACTGCTTCAAATGTGTCCCAGAGATTCTGGTATGTTGTGTCTTCATTCTCGTTGGTTTCAAAGAACTTCTTTATTTCTGCCTTCATTTCATTGTTTATCCAGTCAACATTTAAGAGCCATTTGTTCAGTTTCCATGAAGCTGTGTGGTTCTGAGTTAGTTTCTGAATTCTGAGTTCTAACTTGATTGCACCGTGGTCTGAGAGGCTGTTTGTTATGATTTTCATTCTTTTGCATTTGCTGAGGAGTGATTTACTTCCAATTATGTGGTCAATTTTAGAGTAGGTGTGATGTGGTGCTGAGAAGAATGTATATTCTGTGGATTTGGGGTGGAGAGTTTTGTAAATGTCTATGAGGTTTGCTTGTTCCAGGTCTGAGTTCAGGTCCTGGATATCCTTGTTAATATTCTGTCTCGTTGATCTGTCTAATATTGACAGTGGAGTGTTAAAGTCTCCCACTATTATTGTGTGGGAGTCTAAGTCTCTTTGTAAGTCATTAAGAACTTGCTTTATGTATCTGGGTGTTCCTGTATTGGGTATGTATATATTTAGGATCGTTAGCTCTTCTTGTTGCATTGATCCTTTTACCATTATGTAATGTCCTTCTTTGTCTCTTTTGATCTTTGTTGGTTTAAAGTCTATTTTATCAGACACTAGGATTGCAACTCCTGCCCTTTTTTGCTCTCCATTTGCTTGGCAAATCTTCCTCCATCCCTTTATTTCGAGCCTATGTGTATCCTTGCATGTGAGATGGGTTTCCTGGATACAGCACACCAATGGGTTTTGGCTTTTTATCCACTTTGCCAGTTGGACCTACATTTTCTACTAAAACTTTTCAAGTTTTGTTTCTGAAGCTCATTTTTTTATATGGTGTGAGGTAGGGATTCACTTTCACCTTTTTCCATATAGCTAAGCATGCCCCCAGCTCTGTCTTTGTAACAGTCTCTTCATTCCCACTGACCTCACTTGCCACCTCTGTTGTATGACAAAATCCCATCATGCATGATCTGCTTCTGGTCCCTCCATTCTATTCCAATCACCAATTGCTCCTTCTATACAAATTCCTTACTATTTTAATTGTGTAGTTTTGTAGCAAGAAGCAAGACATAAAACCACAAGCCTCCTTCTCTGCTTTACTTTCTCAGAAATGTTCTAAAGAAGTGCAGGCCCTGTCAAGGATAGGAAAGTCACCCCCCAAATTGGGCTAGAGTACTGAAAGACTAAATCCTAACAGTAAGGGTAAATAAAAAAATAAAACAATGTTCATACAGAAGAACTAAGATACCCTCGAAGAAGAAAAGAATGGCAATTTTTTTCCTTACCAGCTATCAAGATTTATTATGAAAGATATAGTAACTAAGGCAGTATGGCATTTGTGTCAAAAGTACAAAATGACACAAGGCACAGACTAGAGAACCTAGATCCATGCATGAGTCAGCACCATATTTATGATAAAGATTGCACAGCGTAGAAGTGGGGAAGGGTCATCTTTTTAATAAATGTGCAGGGAGAATTGGGCATTTGTATAGGGAAAAAACTGAAATTGGATCCCTACCTCACAGAATACACAAAGTCGGTTCTATGTGAATTACAGATCTACATGGAAAAGCAATGCTATAAAGTGTTCAGACTTAGTATAGGAATCTCACTTCATAAACTTGAGGTAGAGAAGGTTTCCTTAAGACAAAATAAGTCATTAACTATAAAGGTAAAGATAGACAAACTCAACTCTACTGAAATTTAAAACTTTTATTTATCAAAAGATGCCATTAAAAAGGTGACCAGGCAATCAGAGTGAGAGAAGATGTTTACAGCATATGTACCAAACAACTGTTCTTATAATATATAAAGATCTCCAATAAATCAATAAGAAAATGATAGACAACATAACTGAAAAATGGGCAAAAACCTTGAACGTACTTTTTCACAAGAAATCCAGAAGGCCAATATAATTGTGAAAACATGTTTGACCTCATTAATAATCAGAGAAATACAAATTAAAACCACAGTGAACTACAATTATGTATACTTTATGATACACAATTCTGCATTTAACATATGCTGATAGAAATGCAAATGCCAGCCTCAGCATGGTGGTGTCTGTAATCCCAGCACTTTGGGAGGTCCAGGTAGGTGGATCCCTTGAGCCCAGGAGTTTGAGACCAGCCTGGGCAACATGGCAAAATCCTGTCTTTACCAAAAAATACAAAAATTAGCCAGGTGTGGGGACATGCACCAATAGTCCCAGCTACTTGGGAGGCTGAGGTGGGAGGATCTCCTGAGCCTGGGAGGTCAGGGCTGCAATCGCTGTGATCCTGCCACTGCACTCCAGCCTGGGAGACAGAGTGAGACCCTATCTTAAAAAAGAAAAAAGCAAACACCAGGATGCATGTACCCAAAGGTGTCTGTGGCATTATTGTTTGCAATCTCCAAAGTCTAGAAGAAAGAAAAAATGTTCATCAACATTAGAATAGATAAATAAATGTTGGTGTATTCATGCAAAGAAATAATATACAGCAACAAAGATGAATGGCCCACAGCTATATACACATGCATCTTTAATAACACATTGCATGGAAGGAGCCAGACCCATCCATTCCCAAAACTAAAAATATATATCACATGATTCCACTGATATCAATTTGGAAACAAATGAAATCTTACTAAATGGTAATGTTTAGGGTCACACGCGGTGGTCTGCTGGTCAAAGCAGAAGGCAAAACGAGACCAAGGCCGTAAAGCTCAGGGTGGCTCTCCTGGGCAAGGAGTCTTGGGATGCAGAAGGGCATGTGGGCACTCCTGTATGTGGGCAGAGTTACTTCTTGATCTAGGGGTGCTTCCTAAGAACGCATCCACCTGTACATTTTTATTTTATGCACTTTTCCTTAAAAATATGAAATAATAAAAAGTTAAGGGTAACTGCTAAAATAATAGAAACACAATCTCTATCTTCCAAACAAGGAGATTAAAAAAAAAAAAAAAACAGGGCTGGGGGAAGTGGCTCACACCTATGATCCCAGCACTTTGGGAGGCCAAGGCAGGTGGATCACCTGAGGTCAGGAGTTTGAGACTAGCCTGGCCAGCATAGTGAAACCCCGTCTCTACTAAAAATACAAAGATTAGCCGGTCGTGGTGGCAGGCGCCTGTAATCCCAGCTACTTGGGAGGCTTAGGCAGGAGAATTGCTTAAACCCGAGGGCAGAGGTTGCAGTGAGCCAAGATCATGTCACTGCACTCCAGCCTGGGAGACAGAGCAAGAGTCCAACTCAAAAAATAAAATAAAATAAAAATAAATAAACAAAACAGGAACAGGGCTTTCAGGGGTGTCAAAATACTTACCAAAGCTGAAAGCAAAAAGTGGGCTGGGGGGAGGGGGGTAGACAGAAAACACACAACACAACGTGAGTGTCAGAGGCAGGAGGTTAGTTCAGTGCATCAGGGGTTAGTGAATTGTCTGAGACCATGCAGGGCAACTGCCACCTCAGCACTCACCTTACCGTAGCAAGAGGAGAGGAAGGTCCCACCCCAAGGCAGTGTTCCATTCTGACTGTGTTTAAAGTAAATATATGCTAATGGTGGCTGTGTATTACGTTAAAAAAAGTTCCGGGGATTATTTATCAAAATGCCAAACAGTCATTATTCTGGGCGGTAGCACTGTGGGTAGTTTTTTGATTTCCGACTTTCTACCTCTATTTCTAACTCTCAACAATCGATTTGTGTTACTAAGACTGCCCTTTAGGAAGTGGGGAGTGAGTGGAAAGGTAAGATGAGACCACGGTGTGTAGATCACTGTGGGCCAAGCTGAGTTTAGACCTCATGCAATAGGGAGCTATTCATAGTTCTTGAGCAGGGACGTGATGAGACAAAGGCTGGGTTTGGAGAATATCTGCCCCCCAGGAGCAGAAAGGAGTGTCGTGGGAGGCCAAGAGCTCAGCCAAGAGGTACCGAAATGATCCTGAGGGAAGATGGGGGAGAGGTGGATGGGGAGAGCTTGATGCAAGAAGGAAACGAAAAGGGTGACCCTTTGAGGCCGAGCACGGTGGCTCATGCCTGTCATCCCAGCACTTTGGGAGGCCGGGGTGGGCAGATCACTTGAGGTCAGGAGACCCTGGCCAACATGGTGAAACCCCATCTCTACTAAAAATACAAAACTTGGCTGGGCGTGGTGGCGCACACCTGTAATCCCAGCCACTCGGGAGGCTGAGGCAGGAGAATTGCTTGAACCCTGGAGGTGGAGGCTGCAGTGAGCCAAAATTGTGCCACTCTGACCTCACTGCAACCCTACAAAGTAGAATGATTGTTGTCCCTGTTCTGTAGAGGAGGACAGTAATGCTCAGAGAGGTCGAGTGACTTGTCTGAGACCATGACCAGGGGGTGGCGGGACTAGAACTTGAACTCTTGCCTCTACTGTATCTTGGGAGCTTCCTTGAACCCGGGAGATGGAGGCTGCAGTGAGCCAAAATCATGCCACTGCCCTCCAGCCTGGATAACAGAGCAAGACTCTGTCTCAGGAAAAAAAAAAAGTGAGCCTTTGGATTCTTTCAGGACACTTGGGAGGGAAAAAAATGTGAAACATGGTGAGTTTCAGGTGGATGAGTAGGACCGGGAAGGGGAGGGGAGGGGAGGGGAGGGGAGAGAAGGGTGGGGAGTCGAGAGAAGGGAGGGGGGAGGAGAGAAGGGAGGGGAGGGGAGAGGAGGAAACTGGTACAGATGATGCTGTCTGCAAACTTGGCAACCAAGTGAAGGAGAAGGCAGAGGATGGAGCAGGTAGTCTTGGAGAAGAGACCTACTCCTGTGTGAGCAGCAAGGACACAATGCATTCTGTCACCTGCTGCTAAGGGGAGACATTGAACTATCCTTCCTCCCTCTTGTAATCGAAGAGTCAGCAGTCCCAAGTGGTACCCAGCTCCCAAGATACAGTAGAGGCAAGAGTTCAAGTTCTAGTTGCCTCTGAGACATCCCCTGGTCATGTCTCAGACAAGGCACTGGACCACTCTGAGCATCACCCTCCTCCTCAGCAGAGCAGCGACAGGAACAGTTCTACTTTGTGGGGTTGCGGTGAGCTCAAAGTGCCACAGTTTTGGCCATCTCCAGATTCTCTTCATCCTGTAGAGCTGAATCTCTGTCCGGGTTAAACACTGGGTCCCACCTCCAGCCCCCAACCCCAGCAGCCAGCATTCTACTTTCTCACGCCACACCACGTTTGTACACCTTTGAGACACCGCAGGATGCGGGGGGTTGCCAGACCCAGGCTGCGGGTTTGCTGAGAACCCATGGTCAGGAAGGTCCTCTCCTGACCCATCTGAATCCACAGTGCCCGCTGCATCCCTGGGTCTTGCTGGGAGACAGCCGGTGGGCACTGTGTGGGGGTGATCAGGTACTTATTATCCCACCTGGGACACTTTCCCCCCACACTTCAGCAGAAACGTCTCAAACTCGCAGCAAAGCAGAGATGAGCTCACAGTGCAGCTCCTGCCCTCACCACCCGGAGGCCGCGTGGACACTGGCCCTCCCTGCCCGGTCAGGCAGCTGTCTGCCCATCCTCCCTCACCCAGCCATCCGTCCACTTTGGCTTTTTGACAAATGTCAGAGCAGACTCCAGACGACTCCAGCCCCCTCCTCTATCCAGTAGCTTAGTGTGCATATTGCCAGCTCATGGCCGACATCCGTTTACAGCTGCTCAGTACTTGCTGAGTTCGGGCAAAGGCGCGCACCTGTATAACCCCAACCCCCATCAGGGTCTATGTTACCACATCCCGAAGCCCTCCCTGCTTCCTGCCGTTTCCTGCTCAGTCGCTGCCCACGCACACAGTGACCACCGTTCATCTGGGCTTTTCCACCACGGGGGGATCTGCCAGTGTGGGACTTGGCAGACATGGAATTGCACAGGGAAGCCCATCCGGGCGGGGCTTCCTCCACTCAGCACAGCCTTGCTGAGCTTCACCCACGTTGTCATTTTTCCCCTTCTGCTGCTGAGTGACATTACACTGCACAAAATGCCACAGTGTGTTCATCCACTCTCCCTTGGGTGGGCGCCTGGCCGGTCTCCGATCTTGAATGAAGCTGCTCTGTCCATTCTTGTGCCAGCTGCTACGCCTTTAAGAGGAAAAGTGAGCATAATTAATTCTTTGCTTTGTTTTGTTTTGTTTTGGGGACAGGGTCTTGCTCTGCTGCCCAGACTGGAGTGCAGTGGTGGGATCTCAGCTCACTGCAACCTCCACCTCCCAGGCTCAGCTGATCCTCCCATCTTAGCCTCCCAAGTAGCTTGGATTACAGGTGTGCACCACCACATCAGGCTAATTTTTTTTTAAAGTTTTTTTCTAAAGACGGTTTCACCATGTCGCCCAGGCTAGTCTCAAATTCCTGGGCTCAAGGGATTTACCCACCTCGGCCTCCGAAAGTGCTGGGAGGGAGCACAGTTTAAAGTGAAGCGGCCACCACTGGGTGAGCTGGGACTGCCCAGCATGCTGGCACCCCGGGCAGTGCACAGAGCACCCGGCAGGGCCCACTTTCCATCACGTGAGTGGGAACCTCCCAGTTCCGCCCCTGTGGCATGGATGCTCTTCCTCTACCTCCTCCCTGAACTCAGAAGTGAACGCTCATCTTTCTGCTACCTGGTTTCCCTCCAGACCTCGGTGCCAGGCCGTCTGGGGCTCCAGCAATATCTGCTGCTGATTTCTTCTGCTCCTTCCCAACACTCTTCTGGAGCGTCACGTTTCCAGGTTCCCCTTGCCGGCTGTGAGACCGTCAGCTCTTCCATTTGCAGAGAATCTTGGTGTCTGAAATCAACCACATCTTAGAGATGCTCCCTCCCAGCTTGGCCTTCTCCTGTGACCTTGAGTGTTCTCCCCACCTGCCCTCTCGCTGGCCAGCTCCAAGGCTCAGTGCAAAGAGTCAGGCTGCCCGTGGCTGCCAAATCTCCATCTTCCTGTCATCTTTCGCAGAGAGCCCTGCTGGCCCGCACACCTTCTCCTGTGCCCTGCAAACCATCGCCAGACCAGGGCTGTACACACAGGATGTCTCAAACCAATCCGTTTATCCTGCATGAAGTCTCAGCGTGCAACGTCCCGGGGGAGACCCGGGAGCCCAGCCAGCCTGAGTGACTCACACAAGCCAGAAGCTTCTTCAACAGGTAAAACCTGCCTTGTCCTAAGAGAGGTCACCCCGTATTCACTTTCTAGCCTCGCAGCGACTTTGGGTTCCAGTTAACTTGGGCTCTGACATCCGAAGCTCCGGGAGGCATATTTATATTTACATTTAGCTTTTTCGTGATCCCGGCTGTGTGTGGGCCAGCACGCCTTAGCCACAGAAGGACTCCGATAAATATTTGTGGAAGAAAGAGAGTGAAGAAGGGAGAGCAGGATAACGGCACGAAGGAAGAGAAAGACCCAGGGGGTCTCCTGCAGGCGCACTGTTTGCCTGGCCGCTGTGTAAATATGTGAGTACCGAAACTATACACATATTTTTTTTGAGGCAGGGTCTGCTCTATCACCCAGGCTGGAGTGCAGTGGTGCAATCTCGGCTCACCATAGCCTCAACCTCCCAGGCTCAAGCCACCCTCCCACCCCAGTCCCCGAAGTAGCTGGGACCACTGGCTTGCATGACCAAATTTGTTTTATTTTTTTTTTTTTTTTTTTTTTTTTTTTGTAGAGATGGGGCCTCACTGTGTTGCCCAGGCTGGTCTTGAACTCCTGGGCTGAAGTAATCCTCCCGCCTTGGCCTCCCGAAGTGCTGAGATTCCAGGTGTGAGCCACTGTTCCAGGCCTACATCTTTTTTTCCTTGATAATAACTCTAAGGGCAAAGCCATAAGGAAAAAGAAAAACAGGCGAAGGCGCTTGGGCAAAAATTGGGATTCAAACAAGGTGCCTACAGGAACGAGTTCAGCATCGCTGAGCTCAGAACACAAGGCTGCCTCCCAGCTGAGGAGCTTGTGACCTGTGTTACACATGTCGGGATGTGACGGCAGCCTCGCCAGGCCAGGACGGGAAATCCACGCGTCCTCACAAATCAGCAATGCGGCCAGCGGCGGTGCCTCCATCCAGCCAGCGTCAGCTACCTCCACACGCTGCTCTCAGCCGTGCACCATGGGCCATTCTTGACCAACTCAGAGTGCTGAAGGCAATGCCGGATTTATTTTACAGGCAAATGTATTTCAATGAAACGAGCCCGCCTCCACCCCCCAAATCCTCTGTCAGCACTCCAGAATTTAAAAGTGGGAACTTTTTAAAAGCCACAGCACACGGCAGATGTTCAACCTGTAACAAGTCTGTAGCTAGACACGCGCTCACTATATGACCCAGAGCTCCCGCCGCCCATCCGTCTCTCCCAGCCCACATGAGACTTAACCTTCATTTGACCTTCAAAAACCCACAGACGCATAAACAGCGTGAGATAACACACAGCCCTGAGACGTCCGCTCTGAAGGGAGGCTGGCGGAGAACCTCAGAGAGGGAAGTGGCTGCATTGTTTAAATAGAGCATGTTAGTCACCGAGTTCCAGTGCAGCCTCCTCCCAGCAGCTGCCTTTTGCTGTATCATTAGAGCCAATGTGCTCTTGGCTCCAGAATCACAGGAAAAGAGTGCGATGGAGGGTCAAAGCGGTAATACCGAGGAGCACGAAGCAGAAGCCGGGAGGAGGTGGCGTTCGGGGAGCACACTTGCAGAGCACATGCTGCCGTGTGCACAGACATTTCCATCACCTAACAAACTCGAGAGAGTGAAATGCAACAGAGAAATCAGCTGATTTGGGCCAGCCATGGTGGCTCACCTCTGTAATCCCAGCACTTTGGGAGGCTGAGGCGAGTAGATCACTTGAAGCCAGGAGTTTGAGACCAGCCTGGGAAACATACAAACTCTACAAAAAAAAAAAAAATTGTGATTGGCCAGGCCTTGTGACTCACACCTGTAATCCTAGCTACTCAAGAGGCTAGATGGGATGATCCTTGGAGGCCGGGAGGTTGAGGCTGCAGTGAGCTGTGATTGCCACTGCACTCCAGCCTGGGTGACAAAATGAGACCCCATCTTTAAAAAAAAAATAGAAGAAAGGAAGGAGGGAAGGAAGGAAGGGAGGGAGGAAGGGAGAAAGGAAGGAGGGAAGGAAGGAAGGGAGGGAGGAAGGGAGGAAGGAAGGAAGGAAGGAAGGAAGAGAGGGAGGGAGGAAGGGAGAAAGGAAGGAGGGAAGGAAGGAAGGGAGGGAGGAAGGGAGAAAGGAAGGAGGGAAGGAAGGAAGGGAGGGAGGAAGGGAGAAAGAAAGGAGGGAAGGAAGGAAGGGAGGGAGGAAGGGAGAAAGGAAGGAGGGAAGGAAGGAAGGGAGGGAGGAAGGGAGGAAGGAAGGAAGGAAAAAGGAAAAGAAAGAGGGAAGGAGGGAAAAGAAAAGGAAGGGAAGGAAGGAATCAACCTATTTATACAAGATCTGGAATTAGGCATTTCTGCTGAAAAGGGCCAGAGTTGAACCAGTGACACCAGTGAGAGACTTAGTCCCTGTGCTAGGTAGTCTGATGAGGGTATATGGAGGTATACGGTGGACACATGCAATAAAACGATGACAGAAATTCCAAATGAAGACGAGGTGGAGGGAAGCCAGCATCAGGAAGTCAGTAACCCCGTGGTAACGCACGGACAGGACTTTCAGGAACCAGAAGCAGAGCATGGGAGGCCAGCCCTGAAGAGCTGGGATGCTGAGGTGGGGGCTGAGAAGTTCCACACTACCAAATCCTGAGGCAGCGTGGCCAGAGGAGTCCAAAGGAGTGGCAGAGGGACCCAGCAACATTGCTGCTCGGGGAGAGTTCACACAGCAGCCCAAGACCCTGCCCCTGGAAGGCAGCCTCCAAGGTCGGCCCTTGCCTGGGAACTTGGACCTGGAGGGTTCCCACCATTTCCAGAGGTGACATGAGTAGCTCCGTGTGCCTAAAGCGGGTCAAGAGTTGACCGGAACGGTCAAAACCAAGGTGTTACTAAAGCCACACCAGGCTTCTTGACAGGATTTCCAAAATCAATGCATCCTAAGTGTAAACTAGATCGATTACCAGCAACGGCAGCAAAAAACCAGGATTCACTTGGCCTCTCTGTTTCGCGTTGAACTGTGACTCCCAAAAGGATATATTGACCCCTAGATCCTGTGAATGTGAAGGGGTTTGGATAGTTCCTATATGATCTTTGCCGATGAAGTCAAGTTCAGATAATGTCGTGCTGGATTGGGCTGGGCCCCCACCCAGGGACTGTGCCCTCATAAGAACAGGGGAATCTGGACCCAGGGAGGAAGGCCCGGTGCTGATGCAGGCAGGACTGGGGTGACGCATGCACAAGCCAAGGACTGCTGGCCACCCACGAAGAAAGGAGAAAGGCAAGGAGAGACCCTCCCCTGGGGCCTTCAGAGACAGCATGGCCCTGTGCACAGCTCAGCTGTGAACTGCCGGCCTCCAGATCTGTAGCCGAGCACAGTTCCATTGTTTTAAGGCATGCAGTTTGTGGTACTTTGTTTTGGCAGCCCCAGGAAACCTACACTGAGCGACGTAGTGGGGGCGGAATGTCCCCTGCGTCCTCTGATGTCACGTCCAAAGCTTTCTCCCTACTCCAGGTGTTTCAAGGAGATGCACACGACCCAGCTTCCCTCTGTGTAGAAGTGAGTTGGCTTCAGCCAACCAAGTGGCACTAGCCGTGGTTTCATGCACCCTCCCCATCCACCGGCCGCTTCTCTTCTCGCAAAGCGGAGCCTCTGGCACTCAAAGTTGGGGCCGGATCCATCAGGGTGAAAGGACACCCCCCATGACAGGTGGGTTAGTTCTCCGTCACTGACGGCGTGGCTTAACAAGAAGCCCATAGAAACCCAGGCTCCTGCCAACGGGGGATAAACCACACAGCTTCGAGCTTCACGGGAGCTGTTCGTGTGTGGGAAAAAACTAGTCTTAAATTCTATATGGGAATCAAAAGAAAAAAGCCTGCACCTCCAAAGCCCTTGTCCCGGGTGCTTTAAAATGTCCAAGACAGACTTTGGAATCTTGATACCACAAAGCAGACTTTTAATTCTCATCCATGCCCAGAATCACCAAAGAACTCACGGCAGGGTCTACAGCAAGTTGGCGACATGGACAAGGGGACAGATATTCACGACCCCATAAAAAGCTCCAAAAATGTCTCACTTGCCTGTGGCCACAGCTCTCCAACATCGTACATAGAGATTCTTAGGGCCTCTCAAAGCAGATCTTAGAGCCCCCTTCCTCCATTCGAAGGATTAGGAATTTTGTAGCCAAAAATGTGAACTGACAGTCTCCAGGCTTCACAGACAGAGGGGCAGAGCTAAGCTCCTGGCTCCCTTTCCCTTCCTCGTCCACGTCCAACCCAGCCCAGTGGGCCTGCAATCCCCACAAGAGCACTCTGTGTATTTTTTTCTTAATTGCTACATAAGCGTACATATCTATGGGGTACATGTGACAGTTGGGTGCATGAACACAGCGTGTATGATCAAATCAGGGTAACTGGGATATCCACCACCTCCAACCTTTGCCATTTCTTGCGTTGGAAACATTCCAAATCTTCTCCGCTAGGTATTTTGGGAATGTACAATAAATGACTGTTGACTGCTGTGCTACAGAGCACGGGACCCTATTCCCTCCTGCCTGGCTGTATGTTTGGAATGAACTCAGTTGTCTTCTCCCGCCGCCCCACCCTTCCCAGCCGCTTTGTGCATTTCTGCACTCAGCCCATTTGACAGGTGGGAAAAAGGGCTCAGGGAGGCGAGTGACGCCTCAGCACACGGTGGAGTTGGGCCGAGCATCCAGAT